ATTTCCATTTATCCTGTTATATGAAACACGCTCAGGTAATCTTACATATTATGTAACTTGTAAACATTTATCCTGTTATATGAAACACGCTCAGATAATCTTACATATTATGTAACTTGTAAACATTTATCCTGTTATATGAAACACGCTCAGGTAATCTTACATATTATGTAACTTGTAAACATTTATCCTGTTATATGAAACACGCTCAGGTAATCTTACATATTATGTAACTTGTAAACATTTATCCTGTTATATGAAACACGCTCAGGTAATCTTACATATTATGTAACTTGTAAACATTTATCCTGTTATATGGAACACGCTCAGGTAATCTTACATATTGTGTAACTTGTAAACATTTATCCTGTTATATGAAACACGCTCAGGTAATCTTATATATTATGTAACTTGTAAAGCTCCCTTAAGCTTTGATGAAAAAGTTTACATGATTACCTTTTACTAATTCAGCTAATAAAAAAGAGATTCTATACGGTTATTAGGTTATTTTAACAGTTTCTAAAAGTGATGAAAAATTATGTGGTTATTATGTCTTTTCAACTTATTAGGTTATTTTAACAGTTTCTAAAAGTGATGAAAAACTATGTGGATATTATGTCTTTTCAACTTTTTTCAACAATTGATAAAGAAAGTATATATAGTTATCAATTTTTATAAAACTGTTTTCACCTATTAATGAACAAGAGCTTTACGGTTATTAACTATTTTAACTGCGCTTTACATAAAACACTAGCTTTAACAATTAAAATTTCGGCGTTCTGTAAAGCATAAGATATTATAGCTTGGATGAAATATTCTACTTTCATGATTAGAGGCTTATAGATTGCTATAGTAAAGAATAGCACCAAATTTTACATTCTGAATTTACTTGAGCAATCTCATTATCATTCAGTTTTTAATCTGGTGAAAATGATAATAGTTGTCTAGGAATGAGATAGCTTGTTATTTTTTCGGATAATAAAGTACCAATTCACTAGTAAAAATAACAACAAACATTTATCGCTGGTATATTTATATCTTACTACTTTGTGAAGACATTTGTGTCAGAAAACAATAATAATGTGAATAAACTTTAATGTAGAGAACATTAAATAAATGTGTATACAAAAACAATAGTCCTTACTTAATCGCATTTAAACAAATAAATAAAAACAGCTTGTAGTTAATAGTGTTACAATCATCATATACGTAGGTGTATCATAAGTTACAAATTAATTGAGCTTATACTACACAGTAAAACATTGATTTGTTTTACGTTGGTGTATCATAAGTTACAGATTAACAGAGCTTATACTAAACACTAAAATAATGGTTTGTTTTACGTTGGTGTATCATAAGTTACAAATTAATTGAGCTTATACTACACAGTAAAACATTGGTTTGTTTTACGTTGGTGTATCATAAGTTACAAATTAACTGAGCTTATACTAAACACTAAAATATTGGTTTGTTTTACGTTGGTGTATCATAAGTTACAAATTAACTGAAATTATACTACACAGTAAAATAATGATTTATTTGCGTGTTGCATTCATCATATACGTGGGTGTATCATAAGTTCCAAGTTAACTGAAATTATACTGCACAGAAAATATTGATTTGTTTGCCTTCTTTATGCGGAAAGTTATACAATCGGCTGTCTGCGCTGTGCTCATCGCGAGTATCGAACCCAGATTTTTAGCATTATAAGCCTGCAGGTCAGCCATCCTGAGGCAGTGAAAGTTTATTGGTGTTTAAGCAACATAGCTTGTACTGATTCGATGACGAGGAACCCACTTTGAGACTAATAATGGTTGGAGACGGCTTGAATGGGTAATGAAGAAAAACTTTAATATGATGAC